TTATATCATGGCTCCACCCCTCTGATCACTACTTCAAAATCTGTCACCACAGGGGAGGAATTGGAGGCAGGTAGTTAATTTTTATATAAAGTCATCGGTCTCAATTCGGATACTTCCATTATTATGCTTACATGAAGTACACTGTGTACACTATGTTCTTAATGGCATAGTGCTCGATACGGGAGTGTTTTTCACGTGCTTTGAGATAACTTTTGTTGTGAAATGGGGCTATACCAATCGAAATTGACTTGACTTGTTTTTGTCAACTTGAACAAGGCTGTTGTGCATTTACCGTTTACATTTGACTATGATTTTCACCTGCCAAAATATCTGCTTGCTGCTTTGCTCACTTGACTTAAAAGTTAATGTTTTATTTCTTGTAATTGCCCCCACAGATTTTCAGTGAAAACCATGCACTTGGGTTTCGGATTTGAGAGCACGTTTCTTCTTTGGGTGAATGTGTATATTCAATGTTGGCAATGATTTACAACAATATGGCAATTTAGACGGACAGATGATCAGAGGGGTGGAATTTTCACCATCATCATTATTACAGGGACTGAAGAATGGGTAGAGTTTCTCAGTGAAGGAGCAGCCAGTAAAGGAGTAGATGAGAGCTGCAGCAGCTACGTCATAAAAGGAGACCAGACCCTCCTCATAATCCACAAACACCCCCACCTTCTCAGGCTGAGACTTCAGAGAGAGACGGACTGGAGGGCCAGCAAGAGCTTTGTACTCATTTCCATTTCTCAACCATATCGTCCAGTAACCATTCTGAGGGCTCACTGATATGTTTCCCTTCCTGTTGATCGACTCTCTGGCCACTCCTAAATCCCAGTCAGTCTTTCCTTTAACCTGAACCTCATAGTAAAATCTGCCTGAAGAGAAACTCTGCTTTCCTAAGACAATAACACATTGAGAAAATCTCTCTGGGTTGTCTGGGAGATTCTTCCTCACATCACCACAGTGAACTTGTTTTCCATCATCAGACAGGACGAGTTTAGGATGTGCTGTATCAGGATCCAGAGTCACATCCTCTGCATACTGCTGGACCCTCTTCAGCTCAGCCTCATTAATCAGCTTCTTCATCTCTTCACTGAGCGTCTCCTCCAGCTGAGCCACAGCTCTCACCACAGTCCCCTCATATGATGGACGGACTCTGACCTCTGTCCAGTCCTTGGTGGGTGGAGCAGCTTTCAGGGATGGGAAGCTTTGGAGGAGGTGGAGGTGGTCTTCAGAGAGTGAGAGCTGCTCCACCTCAGTGCTTCTCTTCATCAGCTCAGAGATTTCCTGTTCCAGCTCTGTGATGAAGTCTTCAGCCTGTTTGTCTGTGGTTTTCTGTTTGTCTTCGATCTCCTTTATGAGCTGGTTCAGGCCTCTGTCAACAGACTCCTTCAGAGCAGTGAAGACCTGAACACCTTCTGCTTTCTCTCTGTCTGCATCATCTTTACTGATCTTGACTGAGTGTTTGATCTCCTGAATCTTCACTCGTCTCTTCTGGATCATTTGCTGAATTTCAGCCTCTGTCTCCTCCAGCTCTGCCTTCTTTCCTTCATATCCTTCTTTCAGAGGAACAAACTCATGTGTCTTGTGGTCTAAAACAGAGCAGAGCACGCAGACACATGTCTGGTCGGTCTGACAGAACAGCTCCAGAGGTTTATCGTGCTTCGTACACATCCTGTCTTCCAGGTTCTCCACAGGGTCGATCAGCTGATGTCTTTTCAGGCCTGACACTGTCAGGTGAGGCTCCAGGTGAGTCTCACAGTAGGAGGTCAGACACACCAGGCAGGACTTCAGGGCCTTCAGTTTGGTTCCAGTGCAGACGTCACAGGAAACTTCTACTGGTTTGGAAACTTGTTGCTCTGAGCTGCTGCTGCTGGTTTTCTGTTGAGCTTCATGTTTGAACTGAGCAACCATCTCAGAGAGCAAAGTGTTGATGTGAAGCTCAGGTCTTATTTTAAAAACCTTTTTACACATGGGACACTGACACCTGTCACTAATGTCCCAGTGTGTAGTGATGCAGTTCTTACAGAAGTTGTGTCCACATGATGTAGTGACTGGATCAGTGAACACATCCAGACAGATGGAGCACAGGAACTGATCTTCAGATCTCAGGTTGCTGGCAGCGGACATGTCTACAAACTGAGAACAAAAGTCAAAGTGTGAAAAATAACATTTAAAATACAAATGTTCATTACTTCTGAATCACTATTTTCTTAAGTTTAAAAAAGACATTTACGTTAAGTGTTTGTTGTGTGAAATAAACCTAGAAACGATGCTACATCTGTTCTGCCTGATGTAGTTACAGGAACAAGTTCTGGAAAGATATTTCCTGATATATTGTTGACAACACTGACGCTGACTTTTCGCTCCTCTGGGAAAATGGACTGTTTCCATCTTTAACAACAATAATAATAAACTTAAAGAATTATATGTTGTCAATTTGGTGATTATTTTAGACAAATTTCATATCAATGAATCTAAATTTAGCCATTCTGTATTTATGGTTAAACCATGAAACTAGAATAAAACCAAACAGTAAAATTAAAACTATTTCAACTCAAAAATTAGGAAGCTGCAAAAAACATGGATTTGTGTTCTTTATTTAATATTTTTATTTAGATCACTACCCCCGGCTCTATTGTTGTTTTGTTTTAATGACTGATTTATTTGTGTACGACTGTTTTTGTCTGTATGTTGCGCAACACCAGGCGTTCATGGAGGAGAGTGGGAATGAAAGAAAAGACCATTCTCCTTGTGACAAGTCAGTGTACCATCAAAATGATTATGAAGCTTTTATTTTACAGTAGAAAAGTTTCATAATGTTGCTTTAAGTTTTCAGTGAAGTTCATCTGACTCGTTTCAGAACAAAACACAATGTTTGATTTCACCTCTCAGTTTGTGTTAAAGCTGTTTGTTGAAACACAGTAAATATGATCAGCTGTACTCACCAGTATCTGAGCAGTTGTTGAGGAAATCCTGATCAACTCTATTTAATTTTTCTTTAGACAGAAACACAGAGATTTGTCTCGACTGCAGCTCTGCTGTCGCTCTCACTAACTTTCAGTTTCATTTCAGGAATGTGACGTTGCAGTTTTCCTGTTTCTACTGTTGCTCCACCTCTCACTGCAGCTCTGTTTGTCAGGGTTTGTTTCCTGCTTCAGAATAAAACTCTCCTCTCTGATGTGTGCTGTTATGCTGCCCTCTGCTGGACACAGAGGGGAAACACATCTGACTGCTACAAACCTCAGACACGCTCAGGTGAAGACTCCACTTTCAAAATAAAACACTTGCACAAACACTTTCTTCTTCTGCTCAGGATTTAACTGCAGTGAATCTGAACAGCAGAGTAGTTTCATTCACTTCACAGATTCTGTATTTGTTTATTTATTTATTTTCATGTAAGAAAGAGAGATTACAGACTTCTGCTTTATTCATGATCTTCTCTTAAGGAAGTATTTTAAAAATCAACATTTTTACACAATCGTCAGACATAAAAAATAAAAACTGACATGTTGTCAAGTTTAATAGATTATGAGAAATGAGAAATGTCCCTCATTGACTGACTGAAAAATGTCTTGAGCTCCTTCCCCCTTTTCCTCAAAATTTCTCTTTAATAAGACTTAAACTTAATTGTTTAGATTGTTTTTATGTCTCTAATCCAACGGTATCCTAGTATTAATATATGTGAAACTATTGTAGTATAAATACTGTGTATGCTGTATATTTACACTGTAGACATGCAATGTAAAGATTCATTTAATAAGTATATTGATTGTTGTCAATGTTTCAACATAAAAAAGATCAGGCAGTTTGATTGACAGGACAGATGATCAGAGGGGTGGAGTTTTTACCACCATCATTATTACAGGGACCTATGTATGGGTAGAGTTTCTCAGTGAAGGAGCAGCCAGTAAAGGAGTAGATGAGAGCTGCAGCAGCTACGTCATAAAAGGAGACCAGACCCTCCTCATAATCCACAAACACCCCCACCTTCTCAGGCTGAGACTTCAGAGAGAGACAGACTGGAGGGCCAGCAAGAGCTTCATACTCATTTCCATTTCTCAACCTTATCGTCCAGTAACCATCATCAGGGCTCAGTGTGATGTCTCCCTTCCTGTTGATCGACTCTCTGGCCACTCCTAATGTCCACTTAGTCTTTCCTTTAACCTGAACCTCAAAGTAAAATCTGCCTGAAGAGAAACTCTGCTTTCCTAAGACAATAATACAGTGAGCAAATCTCTTTGGGTTGTCTGGGAGATTCTTCCTCACATCACCACAATGAACTTGTTTTCCATCATCAGACAGGATGAGTTTAGGATGTGCTGTATCAGGATCCAGAGTCACATCCTCTGCATACTGCTGGACCCTCTTCAGCTCAGCCTCATTAATCAGCTTCTTCATCTCTTCACTGAGCGTCTCCTCCAGCTGAGCCACAGCTCTCACCACAGTCCCCTCATATGATGGTGGACGGACTCTGACCTCTGTCCAGTCCTTGGTGGGTGTGTGGGATGTGTGTATTATATGTAAGTATAGGAATGAGTAATAATTAATACGACATACAAAATAATAATTGAAAGTATATAGGGTTAAATATGTGTCCAGAATATATAATATACACACCATAGTAATAATATAATGCTGTAAAATATAGATATTGATAACGTTGCGTAACTGGATAGTGATTAAACCAATAAAATACAATGTAAAACAAAAAAGTGTTTATGTTACTGCATGTTATCCTCCAACTTCCACAGTGATGCACCTGGTCTACAGGTACTGAGAGCTGTTCTGTAATTTAGCCTCACTGATATAAATGGTGGTGGACAATGTGACAATGAATTATTCCAAAATTCATTCATTGGCCATACTGTTGTCACCAAATCCACCAGGACTGAGATCTTCTTAAAACTAAAAGAGTGAAGACATTTGTACCAGTTATGTGTAAAACGAGCTTTTCTTTTCAGTGTGTGGTGCTCAGATCACTGTTCACTCAGGCCTCGTGTTTAAAGTCTTCAACATCAGACAAGTTTATTTTACAGTCACGTATTTACAGATTCTTTTAAATCACAATCCATTTGACCAGTATTCAGAAATCAAAGGAAAATAGTCCAAAGTAACCAGTACTTAATCAGTAATTAGCATTCAACTAATTACCTTTGTCCATGAGCTTTTCACAACTTGAATAACAATGACACAGACTGCATTTTGTATGAAATAGCAAAGGTCCAAAATGTTGATGGTAGTTCTTGATCATTTGTAGGTAATAGGTCCGGACAGTTTGCCATCTGGGTCTGGACCAGGACAGTGATCCACCCATTTGTAACCTCTGCACTTAACAATATATTTTCTATAGTTACACATCAGGGCTCGACTGATTATCGGCCCGGCCATATATCAGATGCCATATTGAGCATTTTTATGATTATTGGTATTTTTTGTTTACTAATAATCTTTTTCGGAATCGGCCCTGAAAAACTGGTCAACCCCCGATGTCATGAGTGACACGTTGGTGACTACTGCAGGGTTGACGAGGCATCAAACTAAGTGTTGCCTGTGTGATGGGATACATATAATAATCTTACAACAAAGTCACCGCAGTAATCAGATTCTGTAGAAAATAACAAGATATAAATTAGGGATCGACCGATATGGTTTTTTCAGGGCCGATACTGATTATAGGTTAACAAGGAGACCGATAACCAATATCTGGAACCGATATGTCAACACAAAACTACTGCTGTATAAGGACACTCACCATGGCGTTCAGGTGTTACTATTATTTTGTCCACCCCATTTATATCAGTAAATGTAAGTAAATAACAGAAACGCTGTGTAATGTAACACAGCTCCACACATTACATCCTCCACAATGACCATCAACAACTGTCCCTCCCCTTTTAAAATATAACGCAGTAACAAGTTTACTCAGAGATATTTTATGTTCTCAGTTATCGGTTAAAAAAACATAATGATACCGGTAATCAGAAAATGCTGTATATTACCACCGATAATCAGCCAGGCTGATAATCGGTCGATCCCTAATATGAATTGTAAAGTAATTAAAATATGTACATTTGTTCCCTGGAATTAAAATAAATCAAATCATAAAATAACTGAAATTATTATTCTACTCAGTTTGATTGACAGGACAGATGAGAAGAGGGGTAGAGTTTTTACCACCATCATTAAGCCCTGGATTAAAGAATGGGTAGAGTTTCTCAGTGAAGGAGCAGCCAGTAAAGGAGTAGATGAGAGCTGCAGCAGCTACGTCATAAAAGGAGACCAGACCCTCCTCAAAATCCACAAACACCCCCACCTTCTCAGGCTGAGACTTCAGAGAGAGACGGACTGAGGGGCCAGCAAGAGCTCTGTACTCATTTCCATTTCTCAACCATATCGTCCAGTAACCATCATCAGGGCTCAGTGTGATGACTCCCTTCCTGTCGATCGACTCTCTGGCCACTCCTAATGTCCACTCAGTCTTTCCTTTAACCTGAACCTCAAAGTAAAATCTGCCTGAAGAGAAACTCTGCTTTCCTAAAACAATAGGGCATTGAGAAAATCTCTCTGGGTTGTCTGGGAGATTCTTCCACACATCACCATGATTGACTTGTTTTCCATCATCAGACAGGACGAGTTTAGGACTTGCTGTATCAGGATCCAGAGTCACATCCTCTGCATACTGCTGGACCCTCTTCAGCTCAGCCTCATTAATCAGCTTCTTCATCTTTTTACTGAGCGTCTCCTCCAGCTGAGCCACAGCTCTCACCACAGTCCTCTCATATGATGGTGGACGGACTCTGACCTCTGTCCAGTCCTTGGTGGGTGGAGCAGCTTTCAGGGATGGGAAGCTTTGGAGGAGGTGGAGGTGGTCTTCAGAGAGTGAGAGCTGCTCCACCTCAGTGCTTCTCTTCATCAGCTCAGAGATTTCCTGTTCCAGCTCTGTGATGAAGTCTTCAGCCTGTTTGTCTGTGGTTTTCTGTTTGTCTTCGATCTCCTTTATGAGCTGGTTCAGGCCTCTGTCAACAGACTCCTTCAGAGCAGTGAAGACCTGAACACCTTCTGCTTTCTCTCTGTCTGCATCATCTTTACTGATCTTGACTGAGTGTTTGATCTCCTGAATCTTCACTCGTCTCTTCTGGATCATTTGCTGAATTTCAGCCTCTGTCTCCTCCAGCTCTGCCTTCTTTCCTTCATATCCTTCTTTCAGAGGAACAAACTCATGTGTCTTGTGGTCTAAAACAGAGCAGAGCACGCAGACACATGTCTGGTCGGTCTGACAGAACAGCTCCAGAGGTTTATCGTGCTTCGTACACATCCTGTCTTCCAGGTTCTCCACAGGGTCGATCAGCTGATGTCTTTTCAGGCCTGACACTGTCAGGTGAGGCTCCAGGTGAGTCTCACAGTAGGAGGTCAGACACACCAGGCAGGACTTCAGGGCCTTCAGTTTGGTTCCAGTGCAGACGTCACAGGAAACTTCTACTGGTTTGGAAACTTGTTGCTCTGAGCTGCTGCTGCTGGTTTTCTGTTGAGCTTCATGTTTGAACTGAGCAACCACCTCAGAGAACAAAGTGTTGACCCTGAACTGAGGTCTTACATAGAAAACCTCTTTACACATGGGACACTGACACCTGTCACTAATGTCCCAGTGTGTAGTGATGCAGTTCTTACAGAAGTTGTGTCCACATGATGTAGTGACTGGATCAGTGAACACATCCAGACAGATGGAGCACAGGAACTGATCTTCAGATCTCAGGTTGCTGGCAGCAGACATGTCTACACACTGAGAACAAAAGTCAAAGTGTGAAAAATAACATTTAAAATACAAATGTTAATTACTTTTGATCATCACCATCTGAATCACTATTTTCTTAAGACATTTACGTTGACTGTTTGTTGTGTGAAATGACCCTAGAAACGATGCTACATCTGTTCTGCCTGATGTAGTTACAGGAACAAGTTCTGGAAAGATATTTCCCAATATATTGTTGACAACACTGACGCTGACGTTTCATTCCTCTGGGAAAATGGACTGTTTCCATCTTTAACAACAATAATAATAAACTTAAAGAATTATATGTTGTCAATTTGGTGATTATTTTAGACAAATTTCATATCAATGAATCTAAATTTAGCCATTCTGTATTTATGGTTAAACCATGAAACTAGAATAAAACCAAACAGTAAAATTAAAACTATTTCAACTCAAAAATTAGGAAGCTGCAAAAAACATGGATTTGTGTTCTTTATTTAATATTTTTATTTAGATCACTACCCCCGGCTCTATTGTTGTTTTGTTTTAATGACTGATTTATTTGTGTACGACTGTTTTTGTCTGTATGTTGCGCAACACCAGGCGTTCATGGAGGAGAGTGGGAATGAAAGAAAGACCATTCCCCATGTGACAAGTCAGTGTACCATCAAAACGACAAATAAGTTTTTATTTTACAGCAGAAAAGTTTCATAATGTTGCTTTAAGTTTTCAGTGAAGTTCATCTGACTCGTTTCAGAACAAAACAAAATGTTTGATTTCACCTCTCAGTTTGTGTTAAAGCTGTTTGTTGAAACACAGTGAATATGATCAGCTGTACTCACCAGTATCTGAGCAGTTGTTGAGGAAATCCTGATCAACTCTATGTAATTTTTCTTTAGACAGAAACACAGAGATTTGTCTCGACTGCAGCTCTGCTGTCGCTCTCACTAACTTTCAGTTTCATTTCAGGAATGTGACGTTGCAGTTTACCTGTTTCTACTGTTGCTCCACCTCTCACTGCAGCTCTGTTTGTCAGGGTTTGTTTCCTGCTTCAGGCTCAGACATGATTATAGTGACAGACATTTGACAGAAGATCAGAAACTTCTCACTTATTTCATCAGCTTTTCTCTGCAGTGTGACTTTATCACTCTGAACACTTTTCACTAACAAGAATAAATCTTAGCATCAGAAGAAAACAACAGTGTCTTTACAGTCCTCTGCAGCTCTGCAACAATCTCATCATCAGTCAAAGTTCAGCTCACTAACTGTGTTATAATATTGTCACCTCTTCATGTCATTCTTGTATCTGCTTCCTTCCTCCAGTTGTTTGTGAATGACTCGAGGAAGTTGAGAGGTGTGTGCAGTCTGTCCATGCCTTTAACAAACTCTCCTCTCTCTGATGTGTGCTGTTATGCTGCCCTCTGCTGGACACAGAGGGGAAACACATCTGACTGCTACAAACCTCAGAGACTCTGAGGTGACTTTCAAAATAAAACACTGCCACAAAACTTTCTTGTTTGTATGTTTGAATGTGTTTGAGTAAAGGTATAAAGGTGCTTGAGTATGTACTTTCCACCGTTGATAAGGAAAGTTCTGTACTGCTGTGAAAAATATGTTTTTTTGTGTTTCCGGAGACCCAATTAGTTTTTATGGAAGCCAGTAAAACCACAAGTAAAAGAAAAAAAAGACGAAGTTAGTTATGATAACAAAAAATATATACAATACATTTTGACTATTTATATATAAAATATTTTAATACATAATTATAATGTAATAATTACAAGTCAAAAACATATTATGTTCATGCAAATTTGACACTTTTAAATAAAGTATTTAAAATATTAAATAACATGATTTTACACAAAATGTCAATATGAGAGAAAAAGCAGAATTTTTTTGTTAATCCCCCTACTTATTTTGACTGAATAAATGACTGAAAAATAAGTTTGATACAGCGATACATACATTCATGGAAGCCCAGTTCCGCATATATATATACATTATATATATATATATATATATATATAAGTATGTATGTATGTATGTATGTATGCATGTATATATGTATATAAATACTGTTGTTACTGGTGACTCGTGGAACTGGGCTTCCATGAATGTATAAATCTCTGTATCAAACTACTATTCAGTCATTTATTCATCGCAGATGAGTCCGGGCATTTTATTTTGAAACTCTTAGTCGGAAGTTAAAGAACTTCTTGTTTTGCTAATTTGACACTGAAGTGGAAGCTGGTGGAGAAAAACTTCTCCAGACATGTACAATCGTCACACGGTGACCCCGGTTCTGTGAGCGGAGTTAGAGCTCTAAATGTCCGTGTGAGGGTCCTCAGACACCGGGCTGCTCAGTTCATCGACCCGCTCTGATTTTTATAGCCGCTGTTAGCCTGCGGATGCTAACTTCAGCTAGCCCGAAGCTACCGTAGTTAGCTTGTTCCAACTCGCCACACAGGCAGAATTCCTGCTGATTCTTCTCTGGTTTTATCGTCTCACCGGTGCGCCGCCAGCACAGCGAGTGATGTGGAGAGTAACTTTACAAGCGTTTGGTGTTTTGCTGCTGGCCTGGTTCTTCGGGAACTTTGTTCTGGGTTGGTTTCAACAAAACAACGTAAAACCCCAAACGCAGCACAGCGAGCATCCGAGCGGAGCCCCGGACAGCTCGGACCAGAGCTGCCTCTGCCATGTGAGTAACCGCGACACGGGGCTTGTTTGAACTGGAGGTCAGGACGGTTTTATTGTGGGTTTTGTAAGTGTTTGTCAAGCTTTAAACGCGGCTACACGATACTACAGTTTTCATTGAGGAAGTCTTCTAGCATTTTCTACTGTCATCTTAATTTGACGTCATCGTGCGTGCGTGCGTGTGTGTGTATGTGTGATGCTAGCTAGCTCCAACTCTTCACCAGTGTTTGTGTTTGTGTGTCAAAGTCACATTACCGTTTTAAATATCTTCTATTGTTTTGTTTTATTAGTTGTTTATTGAAAACCTTGTAAAAATTCAAATAAAACTTAATAAGTTTACACTACTTTTTTTTTTTTTTTATATAGAATTAATGTCCAATTTAACTGCGTGAGAAAGTGATACACGACTGTAACTAACTTCCATCTCTTCGTATAAATATGTTCGTCTTGTGAAGCTTTACAGTAAAAAAACAGGACAAAATATCCAAAATTAGACGTTTGAACTCCAACACAGATTCATATTTTTATTCAAACTGATGGTATTTCTATTACCGAGTAGAAAAGCGTGGTGTACTCTGATTGGCTGTAGCGGAGCGCCCATCCCGTGCCGTCTCATGGGAGTCGTAGTCTCCTGCCTCACAGCTAACACCGCCCCTAACGTCCTCAGAGCTCACGGAGGACTACAAGCCGGTAGTCGCCGGCTGAGGGGCGGGGTTCCGTTTGACAGCTGGTTGTTTGGAGGCGGGGCCCCGGGCGAGCATGGGGCTGGAGGTCTTGTAATGACAGCTCAGCTCACAGACAGAGCTGCTGCTGCTCAGGCACATGGGCGCCAAGTTCACAGAGGAGAAGTTTTAATCTGAAGGAGTTAAAACAGGAAAAAGAAGTAGCAGGATGCTCAGAGGACTTTGCCTCCTCCTGCCTTTCCTGGCGCTCGGCGGACTGCTGCACTCAGAGGTCAGCTGTGGTTTGGTTTATGTCGAGTATTTTTGTTTCACAGTGAGACTTTCCAGGCGTTTCTGAAGGTCTGTGAGCAGCAGGAAGTAAATCTGACTAAGAAAAAATATTTTGAATAAGTAGGAGAGAATAGATTCATACCAGTGTTTTTCATATTTGAGTTATCACAGAAACTCAGTGTCCAGAGCTGGCACCATATGCTTCGTCATATCTTGCTCTGATCATTTAACTCTATAGAAAAAATGCTTATTTAAGGCTCAGAAAAAGAACTCACAGTGTGATGTCAAATCTCAATTAAACCTGGAAATCACATGTATGTTGAATTCTATGTTTTGTGTTCAGTTGACCTGATGACAATTAATTGGAAATCTACCAACTGAACATTGTGCCTGTTTCACCTCTAAAAAATACCTCTTTTTTTTCCTGGAAATATCCTCGGACATTATTGGGAAGATACAGAAACATATGGTAAAAAAACTAATTAAGAGAAAATGAAACTTAGCACTAGTACTACTTTAGTAATAACGGCACTTGCTGTGAAACCATGACCAGCTGTTACTGTGCAAAGTTCGAGACTTTTCATTGTTCTACTTTGGTTTTCAGTCATGTCAAATTAAATATACACGATTTACAATGATAGCTTGAACATTTCAGAGCTGGTCATCCAATGCTTCAGCTCGTTTGCATGTCTGTTTATGCAAATAGCAAAAACAAAAGAGACGTAAAATAGCAAAGCTCCGGTGCTGCAAACCACCCGAAGAACAGAGAAGCAGATCAAACGTAAGACAAGACCAGACTTTAATTACTACAGTAATACATTACCTATTATGTTATAATTTGTTCTTTTAAGCAAGGTAGGTTTCAAAATGTTTTATGGCAACAAGCTGAAAGTCTCTGGGTTTTGGACAGATGGTTGGACTGAAAACAGTTTCTAGATATGTCAACTACAGCAGTAGGAAACTGTGACATTATTATTATTATTTCTGACATTTAATCGACCACACAATTAAATTAATCTGGTATTTGAGACAATAAATGAATAATCAGTTGCAGCCCTGATTAGATGCTCACGGTCTAAAGTAAAAAACTGTGAGCAGTGTTTGTGTTGGGAGCAGAGCAGTCGACCACATGTTTGTCATTGTTGTCCAGCAGGTTCCACCAGGTGTTTACAGTGGGTTAAGACAACAGGTGATGGCTGGTTACCTGTTCTATAAGACGACCCAAAGCCTCCTCACGACGAGCTGGTGGTGTTACCGCCCCACCTTTAATGCCTCCCTGTGTTTACTGAACTTAATGTTCTCAAGTTTACATTGGGGTTGTTCAGCTGCTCCTCAGGTCAAACGCATTTGTCTCATTAATTTAACACGTCAGCAGCTGAAGCTGAAGAGTGTGTTGATCAGGTCTGGATTCAGGATCACCTGTACGGGCTCAGGTAACGGCGGCGCTGCTGCCGTGCTGGATGTATTATGTATGTGCAGGTAGGTGGGGGCCGGTCTGTCTGCTGGACCTCCTGCTGTGAAAGGAGGACAGGTGGAAGTGGGTGGCAGGTGAATCAACAGGTTACTGATGCGACGAGTTGCAGATCGACATGTTAAGTAGAGATAATAATAATGATGTTAAATTTAATTTACACATTGAATTAGCATGTTAATAGAACAAAGAAAAATTAAAAAATACGTTTCACAGAACAACAATAAAAGACATGTAAGAAAAGGGATCAATAAAAACAGTAATAGTACTAATATTAATTTAAAACTGAATTAAAACACAGAACATTGTAAAACTTAAATAATCTCATAAAAACACATTTGTTTTTATTTATTGAATTTAATTTGAGCTGTAATTTAATCAGCCTGATGCTGCGTAGTGGGAAAGCAGCTCTGAAACGCAGACAGCATTAAATAAGACATGATTTCCTCTAAAGGTAAAATGATACAGGTGTGTAGAGCACAGGTGTGATTGAGAGTCCAGTCTGCACTCACTTTAGTTTCACTGTTTTATCTCCAGTAGAACTCCAGCAATGCTTTATTTTAAGTTTCAGTTTATGTAGCATTTATAAGCAGTATTTGAACATTTATTATTGGTTAATAACAGAGTAAAGTGTTTATTAATGTTCATAATTTAAAACTTATGTTGAATTATTCCAGCTGTTATAGCGCACAGCTTCATTATATACTGTTATAATTAGGGTGCTGTTTAAATATGTACCTTGACTTTGATACAGAGTCTTAATGATACTTTTTAAATACCAATTTTATCAAATCCACTTTAATAAAAAGAAAACTACAACACACATGGTACAAATTTGAGTTTTACTTAAGTTTTATTTTGAAGCTCGGTGTCTTTACCTCTCAAAAGTGTTTGTGTAAATAAACAGCTGAGCCTCTCTTCTGATTGGCTGAGTGTTTTCTGAGTTATCCAATAAAAATATAGCAGATTTCAGGTAAAAAGGTTTGGATGGTGGGTCCAGGTGGGCGGGGCTTGGTGACTGCTTTGTTGTGACATCACAAAGTTCCAGAAGTCCTGACGGCTGGTTTTAAGGCTCAGTTTCTGAATACAGGCTGTGTGCATTTCTCTGTGGACTGAGGCTTTGATACTTTCACAGTATTAATATAGAAGCTAGAGCTGATCTATAATCACACTACACATGGACAGAGAGGAGCTTTATGTCTTTTCAGCATTATATCACAGTTAATATTTTGTTTTTCTACTTGTTTAGTAGATGAACTTCATTTAAAATTAAGCTTTGGTTATTATTAATTGTTGTCTGTTGTTTGGAAAGTTGTTATTTAAGAGGAATGTCGTCATGTGGGATTTAAAGGTATTAATCGTGGTAAAAGTTTTGTTTTTCTCTCTGCTCTGTTTCAGCTGACCGGAGTCCTGGACGACTGCTTCTGTGACGTGGAGAGCATCGACGTCTTCAACAACTTCAACATTTACCCTCTGGTCCAGAAGCTGACGGAGAGAGACTACTTCAGATACTACAGGGTAAACTCCAGTGTAAATACAACACGGCTCAGTGTACGCATGAGTGACAGTGTCTCATGTGGCTCGTAATGTTTTATCCTGTTGTCTGTTATGAAGTTGTAACAGAGGTGGAAATCAGATTTGTAAAAACAATTATATCGAACTTAAAAATCAGATTTTTACATCACAGTTTTCAGTTGAACACGTCTGTGACTCTGGTCGGTAACGAGCAGCTCGTTCACATTTTCCTCCTCTTTTCTATCTCTCTCTCTCTCTGTCTGTCAGTGGAAATGTTTTCTGAGTCGTGCTGATCACAAGACAGAGTTTAGTGTGATGTGACGTTCAGACTGACGGCGTGATGTGCGCTGCACTCGCCGCTTGGTTCGGCGGAGTCGCTGTGGACCGAGCAAAAATAGTGTTTTCAAAACTTCTAGCGAGACACATCACTACAAAGCGGGATGCTCCGGGTGTAGAGCCACTGAGAGGGAACACGACAAAGCCGTGTTTACGTTCTTTTTGTCCAACTCCAGTGGCCACATCCTTCGGAGGACGCGGCCTATGAAGGCGTGGCTCTTCGTAGCCGCCGTAGACCATCTGTAAAGATAGGGTCTGGTCTGCGGAGCATTTTCTCCTCCTGTCACCAGCTGTTCCCGCCCTCACTCCTTTCGCCTAGCAACCTTAACTTTTTTTTTACGTTTTAAGGTCCTTTAACAGTTACTCACCTTAAAACTCAAAACATTTAAAAGCGTAGCCTAATTATCAGGCTTTTTTTTCACGCAATGAATCTTGGGATATGTTGGACCCCATAAAAGAAAGACGTGTTTCTCAGTCGTATTTGAAGGAGCCTTTGAATTGGGGCACAGCTGTTGACTCCCTGCAAGCTCTGCAGACTGTTAAAACCAGGCTGTGCAGTTTAAAACGCACCTGAACTATTTGGGTGGAAATCTGTTTCCAAGATGGAGATTTCCTCCCGAGGTCGATACAAATATGAATTTGTTTCATATAATTCAGGGAATTCAGTAAAAAGATCATATGATCGTCTTTTTGGGTGGAATCGTAATCCACCATCTTGCTCATCATCTGCATCCTGTTTGCACTCTGATTTTATTCTGAAATTTCGGACAGGAAGTTGTGATTCCTCTCTTTCCGCTGCTCTGACGCTTCTCTCTGATGTTTGAGCTCGTCCAGCCACAGTCACACGTCATGCACTCGACCGGCTGATTTACTCAACTCTTCATATCACACATTGCATGTTGCTCCGCCGGAGGTTTGTCAAGCAAGCAACAGAACCTTTGGAACTTCCTTTCAGAAATTTTCAAAATAAAAGCTCACAATAGCTTGAAATAAAGCATTTCTGCAACAAACAAAAAAAAATGCTTCTATTTTCTTGGCAAAATCGCTAAAGAGGAAGTGATTCTGCAGGAAACTGTCGCTGCTCAGACGGAGATCGATTTTTAGCAACAGAGATTGTTTTGTTTTTTTGTTTTTTTTTTAGATTAAAAAAACGTATAACTTTAAACTTTCCGCCGTCACATATTTTCCCTCTTGATGACATTGACCTCCCTCAGTTTGACACAGAGTAACTCCAGTGCCAGTGGGTCTGGACAGAACTCTCTCATATTCAGGTTCATCTTAAACTGCACCCGTCACATGTCTCTGTAAACGCTCTGGTTGGTCTGAGTCGGACCTGGAGCCAGCAGACGTGAAGTAAAACAGTGCAGCAGAGTCGGTTACGAGGCAGTTACAGAACAGGAAGGATGAGACGTATTGTGAAATACAGACTTAATGCAACACACACAGTGAGACAAAGATGTTTCCAGTGAGCCGTTAAACCGCCGTGTTAAACTGGAGCCTATGGGGACGTTTATTATCTTTATATCATTTTTTTAAAAAAACCTAGTTTTGCATTTACTTCTGATGTCAACGTCTGTTCTGATGAAACGCTGCACTGACATTTACATGTGTGGGCGACGCCAGCAATAACTTGAGCATCATTTAATGTTGGAAATTTAAAAACACGTTGAGTTAAAGTCATCGTCTGTTAACAAACTGAAGCCATGCCCACAACATCTTTCCCACAGTGTCAATTAGTTTGGACGCAGAGTAAACGTTAAATAAAAGTTCAGTAAATCTTAAATAAAATGTTCAGTAAACATCTAGTAAATGTTAAATAAACTTTGAATAAATGTTCAATGAATGGTAAATAAAATGTTCAGTAAACATTGAATTAAAGTTCAGTAAACGTTAAAAGTCAGACCCAGCAGTCTCCGTTCGGTTTGGTTGAGTTCAAAGTTGTGAAAGTGTTTAGGAAACACCCCCCCGTTTCCGGACAGGTGGTCCGTCCCTCCCACTGCTGAAAGTAATGGATTAATCCTGGAGGTTTGCTTTTTTTCTCCTCGTGAAAGTAACACCGCCGAATAAGGATTTGGTCGGACGGTCGACCGGGAGACGACAGCTGTAGAGATCAATGCTAACGTAAGATGCTAAACATTAGCACGTTAGCAGAGGACACTCCCTGATACTGGAGAGAACTCCACTGGTTCTGGTCCTGGTCCTTTACATTACAACACCTGTGATCCACCTTTAAAACAACCCTCACGTCATGATGAAGCGACAGAAACATGAGGCTGTTTGAAGATGATTTAGTCGAATCTGATGATAAATTCAAACTCACCTGTATTTGATCAGTAAACGACCTTCGCTTCTTTTTCTTTCCTCCAGGTGAACCTGAAGCGACCGTGTCCTTTCTGGCCTGATGACGGACACTGCTCCATTAAAGACTGTCATGTGGAGCCCTGTCCTGAGGTCAGAGGTCAACCACTCTCACACCTATTTAATAATAATAACTACACATTTTATTCACAGAGCATGTTTTTAGATACTCGGAGAAGCTTTACAGGACAAACTAGGTAATAACAATAACAATAATATTAATGTTTCTGTGTTGAGCACACTCTGCGTACTAACTGTGATTGTTATTTATCTAACACCACTTTAACAAACTGAGTTTTAAGACTGATGAATTGTTCAGATGGATGATTTAGGGCTCAGTTTGGATAAAGTTGTCTCTTATTGTTTGTTTGTTTGTCGTGTTTTTCAGAGTAAGATCCCCGTCGGCATCAAGTCTGGGAACTACAACAAGGTGAGACCTGCTGACCGCGTTCAAAATAAATGTAAAGAAAATGTATATTTTCTATATTTAGAGTGTAAGTCACTGATTAGCCACGACATTAAAACAGGGAGCTGGTTTTAGTTAGTTAGTTCCTACAAAACTTTTCTCTTATTTAACAGTTGAAACACGTCTCGCAGCTCGTCTCCAGATCAAACAGCATTTTAAAACAAGATCGATCTCCGTCCTGACGAGCGTTTTAGCTCCTTATCAGAAATAATTTCTCTCTGGAGTCATGTAGATGTAACCTCAGACTGTCTCCCGTTTCCTTAAAAACAGCACAATTCTGCTGCCACTCTATATTTTTCTTACTATCTCATGTGCAAACCCAAACAAACAGTATGCTCGTCCGTCTCTCAACACCTTCCCTCCTCTGTCTGTGGCTCTCAGCTCCGAGCTCATTGGTTCCTACTGAAGACGTAAATCTTTAAAAACAATCACAAATATATAATTTGATTTTTTGGTTTTTATCAAATGTTATTCAAACAGGAGGAAACAGCATCTGTTGGGGACTATTTTCAGGGGTGGATTAATCCACATGTGGTGCTGTAGAGAGTATTTGGGGCAGCAGGACTGTGTGTGTGTGTGTGTGTGTGTGTGTGTGTGTGTGTGTGTGTGTGTGTGTGTGTGTGTGGGTGGGTGTGTGTGTGTGTGAGTGACGTGAGTGATGTGAGTGACTGAGTCAAAACAAACTACAGTGTTTGTGTTCATGGTAACTGTGACACTCTGACTCACTGGTGTGTTTTTACACACACAGTTCTTATTAACAGACGTTCAGTGTCGGTTTTTAAACAGTTTAAAACATCAGCAGACGTTAATGAAACGTGTGAGAAGCCGCCGGCTGTGAACGCAGCCTCGACCAGACTGATGTTTGTACCTGTTCATGTCAGGACGTCAGGTTCCTTTAACTTGTTTAATGGAGTTAAGGACCAGCTGCATTTGTTCCAGCACTTTCTGTCTCATCAGCTGATTCACTAAAGTACACACACTCACACTCACACTCAGCTTATCTCCTGATAGTTTCCATGCAGAGACGGAGGACTGAGTGTTTGCCCGCTCTTGGCTTGCAGCCTGATGTTTGTCTTGTAATGAACCAGACGTGTTTGGACATCTGCGCTCGTCTCAGTCAAGGTCGAGTCTGCTTCACTGACCGTCAGCAGTTCCTCTTACGCCGGGAACACTCTGCCTGTGTGGCGTGAGCGTGGCGGCTGAGCTGTCGATTTCTTTTTACTATAAATTAATTACTGATTCATTATTGACAGAAAACGTCACTAAAATGTCTCCGTCTCCACATGCAGCTGCTACAATGGTTAGAATATATATTTTTATGTCTGTGTCATATTCAGATTTGGACTAGACATCGAAACTGTAGTGGATGGTGTCAGTTTAATGTGATGTTGCTGGTATGATGTCACTATGACATCAGCAGGGCTTTTCTCTGCTTCTACTGGGGACGCGTCACGGTTGAAAAATAGGCGAGATGCAGAATCTGTAGATCACGCGACGCAGCCGTGAGGCAGTGTGTCCGCTCTAACCTGTTAACATGGGCGCCAAAATGAAAATCAACACGTTCCACAGCTGCAACGCACACGCCACGCGTCCAGTGTGTCTTCAGCCTTAAAATCGCTGTGTGGGATTAAAGGAAACCTCATACTGCAGGAGTTTACATCTGGAATCTGAGGCTTTCCTTGAGAAAACGTCTCATCTCGTTATTGCAGCACATTAGAGGAGTGATGTGGGAGGTTTCTCTGTTAACTTCATCATTACAGTAAAACTTAGAAATGACACCAGGAAGCAGCAGCTCCTCGCACTTCACTGCTCTCCAGAGACAGATATGAAAACTATCCAGAGATCAGAGTTACTATCAGCCTGTCATACTAACCCCCTCCCTCCCTCTCTCTCTGTCTTCAGTACTCCCAGGCAGCGAATACGATGTCGGACATGACTGAGTGTGAGCAGGCCAAAGAGCTTGGCGCCATCAACAGCACCCTGAGGTGAGACCACACACCTCAAACCCTCCGAGCGCTGCAGCAGTTCCCCTGCGCCAGCGACAGCCATTTTGTTTTCAGATTGTTTGTTTGTCCGTCCTGTTCTCGTGGACACGATATCTCAGTAACACCTTCACAGAACTTCTTCCAATTTGGCACCAACATTCGCTTGGACTCAAGGATGAACTGATTAGATTTTGGTGGTCAAAGGTCACAGTGACCTCACAAAGCACTTTTTAGCCATAACTCAAGACTTCACACAAATGGTTCATATTTTCTCTGACTCTGGATGAACAGGGATGCAACCTGAAACTAGTCCGAGTGGTGGAGGGATACAACCAAGAGGAGGAAGTGATTCTAGTTTTCAACATGTACAGCAGCTTCAGCAGCCGACAGTGACCAGGTCAAACATTGACCAGTGTCTGAGCAGACCGACGTTCACTGCTCCTCCGTCACAGGAAGTGTGCAGCGTCGTCAGACTCTGATAAAGTCTGATAGAGGAAAATTCAAACCACACACAAGTTTGTGCTGATGAAAACAAAGATTAAACTCCTGATATTAAAAACCTTCTCAACTCGCTCGGCTGTTCAGTGTCTTGAGACGTTTTGTCTTCAGGCTGCACTCAATAATTTTCATGTCATTTGTGTTATTATCTTGTTTTTCTCATCAGAAAATGATGAAATTGCTCACCTGGTTGTGACGTTTGCAAAAGTTCAAATTGTGATTTTGATATAAAATGGTTTATTATTTAGTCCAGCTCATGATCATTGAGTGGCTGTTGGTCTGCGTTCTTATTTATAACTAATTCTTTACTGCTACAAAGCCTGTAAAGTGTCTTACTTCCTGTTTCAGTAACCAGAGCAAAGAGGCGTTCGCTGACTGGGCGAGACACGACGACGCTCAGGACCACTTCTGTGAGCTGGATGGTGAGGACTTACCCTCTTTAATCCAAATCTATCTTAACAACTACTGTTCAGATTCCCCCAGTGGTGATTCATGCTCCCCAGAGGAGGAACCCTCACAGTTATGGAGACTCTCGACCTTTAAATCAAACCGTCACAATCAAGACAAGTTGCCCTCCTCTGCACAATAATGTCAAAATCTAAAATCTAGTGATCTTCTGTGACGATGTTTCCAGTCCCTTAAAGTCTAAGTGTGTGTGTGTGTGTGTGTGTGTGTGTGTGTGTGTGTTAGATGAAACTTCTCCAGACGCTGACTACGTGGATCTGCTGCTGAATCCAGAGAGATTCACTGGATATAAGGGACCTTCAGCCTGGAGAGTCTGGAACAGCATCTACGAGGAAAACTGCTTCAAGTGAGACACACACACACACACACACACACACACACACACACACACAGAGTAAAGATAAATTGATTATTGATTTACTTATACCATTCATGTATCATTTGATTCCTGCTGAGTTGATTCAGTCTCAGTCTGAACACAGCTGATCTTGTGTTTGTTCGTGTCGTTGACATTTGTTTTGATTAAACACTAGAAAGTGTGTTGATCTGTGTTGTTATTTATCAATGAACTGACTCTTTCTCTTCAGTGTTCAGACAATCAACAGTTTTTCATGGACCTAAATAAAAGATCAATTCTTTTCTTCACAGAGAAACGTTCAGATTTAAAGCTGCTGCTGAAAGTAAACGTATGTCTTTGTGTCAACAGGCCCAGATCAGTGTACCGACCTCTGAACCCTCTGGCTCCGAGCAGAGGTGAGTCAACAGCAAACAGTTAACACTTTCACTTCGGACTCACAGGTTCAGCTGGAGGTTCAGGTTCAGGTCGAAGCGACTGGAACAAAACCTGAGATTCACTGGAGGACTGAGCTGTTACATGGTTTTAGCTTATAATTAAAGTTTTTATTGTTGTTTTGTCATCACTGTCTGTCTGTACATACATAGACAGGAACTTCTTCACGTTTAGTACAAACATTCACCAGGACTCAAGGATGAACTGATTAGATTTTAGTGGTCACAGGTCAAAGGTCACGATGACCTCAAAAAACACACAAATGGTTCATATTTTCTCTGACTCTGGATAAACAGGGATGTGACCTGAAACTAGTCCGAGTGGCGGAGGGATACGACCACTGTGTAGCATCTGAAACCCATCTGTACTGGATTAGATGATTTTATATTTTCATTGGGATAAAAACTCACATCAATCATTTTCAGATTTGTTTTTATTTATTATTGTTTGGGTTTTTTGCATCTTTTCATCTGTCTGTTGATTTGTGTGTGTGTGTGTGTGTGTGTGTATTAATAGCACAGATCTAACAGAGCTTTGTTGTCTCTCCTCTCTCTCTGTCTGTGCAGGTGACGATGATGGTGAGTAAAAACCAGCTTCACATGGATTTATTTTTAGTTTTAGTTTTTAAAAGAAAAGATAAAGTCTCTGTTCTGACGTCGCTCTCGTTGCAGGTGAAGGTTTCTACAAGTGGCTCGAAGGTAAGTGTTTATCTCCCTGCTTGTTTACGTCTCTCTGTGTTATTCTCTGACGTTGTTTTGTTTTTGTTTTATTTCCTCCGCCCCGGCGACAGTCAGAGCGGCAGCCATTTTGTTTTCCGGTTGTTCGTACGTCTCGTTCTCGTCGACACGATATCTCAGTAACATGGTGATGAAACTTCTTCAAATTTGGATCAAACATTCACCAGGACTCAAGGAGGAAGTGATTAGATTTTGGTGGTCAAAGGTCAAAGGTCAGTGTGACCTCGCAAAACACTTTTTAGCCGTTACTCAACCAATGGTTCATATTTTCTTTGATTGTGGATAAACAGGAAGTGACCTGGAACCAGTCTGAGTGGAGGAGGAGCTGATTCATCTCAGAAGATGAAGATGAGACTTTGATAAGTGAAGAAACTTTACATCTTTATTCGGATCAAACTGAAGAAAACTGTTGTAACCGTCACCTGCTCGTGTACATGAAACTCGTGGCTGTAAAAACGTCTGCTGGAAAAATCAGTCACATTTCCTGTCGTCGTCTTCAGCCGCTTCCTCCTGTGAAGCCGGGCTCTTATCTCCTCTCTGCTTCCTCTGTGTGTGAAGAGTTCAGAGAGTTCAAACGCTCCCACAGAGAGCTGTCAATCATCTGCGTTTCAGCGTCATCGACGTGACGTCCGCACAGAGCAAATTCATCCTGGGATATAAATCTGAGAGAAGAGACGATAGTTTGGTTTATTAAAGAACATGAAACATTAATTAACACGTCTACAAATCTCCCTCCCTCTCTCTCTCTCTCCCCAGGTTTGTGTTTGGAGAAGAGAGTTTTTTACCGGCTCATCTCCGGCCTCCACAGCAGCATCAACATCCACCTGTGTGCCGAGTACCTGCTGGACGGTACGAACATCCCCCTGCAAAACAAACCCTCGCTCACTTTATGCTAACAAGCTAACTACACTGAGCCATGCCAAATATAGATCACACACCGGACTGAATTTATTCTGTATTTGTGTGATAATCTGTCAATATGGAAGCTCTGAAAGGCGAGTGATTTTTGCTTTTTCTGAGGAGGAAAAAACAAACTAAAAAGAAACTTAGAAAAAGATTACCCGACGTTTTCACAGACGGAAAAAGAAATTTGAAAAAAATAATTTTTTTAGTGAGGATTTTTTGAAGTGTTTGTTTTGTAATACTGATTTTGGCCACAAGAGGGTGAAGTGCATCACTAGCCTAGTCTAAATCTCACAGAAACATCTCCCTCTAGGTGATTTTTAATTTCTTCACCCTCTAGTGGCCAAAGTCAGTATTACAAAAGCAAACACTTTTTTTTTTTTTTTGTGAAAACACTTTTCAGTTTTTTTCCCGTCTATGACAACGACCCCGAAGGGGCAAGTGGAAATATTATTATATATTTCACTTGCCTTTCAGGGCTTCTGTATAATATAATAATAACTTTGTTTTATTAATGTTTAAATAACGGAAAACCACCAAAGTTAAAAATGAGCATGAAAATGAAACAGGACGAAGAGTGAAGTAAGAGTGAAGATACTTCCCCGAGTGGAAATTCATGTTGTCGGGTTGTGATTCCTCAGAGGGGTGGGGCCGGTCGGTGTGGGGCCCAAACATCCAGGAGTTTCGGAGTCGCTTCGACCCGGCTGAGACGAAGGGCGAGGGCACGCGGCGCCTGAAGAACCTCTACTTCCTGTACCTGATCGAGCTGCGTGCGCTCTACAAGGTGGCGCCGTACTTTGAACGGGCCTTCGTCAACCTGTACACAGGAAACACTCAGGAGGACAGCACCACCAAGGACCTGCTGCTGCAGGTCTTCAACGAGATCAAGTAAGACTGACTCCTCTGCACAGGTCCGGTTCTGGTCCGCGGGGGGGGTTAAAGACCAGAACCAGAAACCTCAGATCCTTCCTCAACACTGAATCTGTTACTCTGATTTTCTCATGATTATCGCGGCCAAAAGAATTCACGAAAACGATACTAGAGCGATATCTTTAGAAAATTAATAATAATATTAATATATTTTTTTAATGGACGCCTTTTAAAGCCTCTCAAGGTCACGTTACAACACACAGTAAAATATAAAGTAGAAGCAGCTAGAAGGTATTAAATACATAATAAATCAGAATGAGTGTAACTCTGTAAAATAGATGTGATTTCATTGGACGTGGAAGGAAGAGGTTCAGTATTACAGAAGATCTAACAGCTGCTTTTGTCTTCCAGATCGTTCCCGATGCACTTCGACGAGAAGTCCATGTTCGCCGGACACAAGATGGAGGCCAAGACGCTGAAGGTGACGGCGGCGGCTTTAATCTTCTTAATGAGCGGTGAAGCAGAGGAGCCAGGGACCGATCCATTCAGTAGATCAGGGGTCCAATCTTTTCGGTGTCAGCAGAACAAAAGTAGAAACACTGTGAACCTCATGTATAACGGGTTTAACTGGTGACCTTTTTATTCCTCCGCGCCGGCGACAGTCAGAGCAGCAGCCATTTTGTTTTCATGTTGTCCGTCCATCCGTCCCATCCTCTTTGGACATGATATCCCTGTAACACCTTGACTCAAGGATGAAGTGAATAGAGTTTGGGGGTCGAAGGTCAAAGGTCACGGTGACCTCAGATAACACTTTTTAGCCATTACTCAAGACTTATATAAGATAATTCTAGTCTTCTTTATAGATCAGCTGTGTGTTCATTATCTATAAACTGTAAAGAACGATAGTTCAGGACGTGAGTCGCACCAGATCCTGTTTTCTGTCTCGTCACATGATCGATCTGATCTGAACGTGGCCGTCTCCTCTCCTTCCTCCCTCAGGAGGAGTTCCGCCTCCATTTCAAAAACATCTCCAGGATCATGGACTGTGTCGGCTGCAGCAAGTGTCGAGTGTGGGGGAAACTTCAGGTGAGTCGCTTCACCGCCGCTCTGCTCCAGCTGTGTTTGACAGGAACTGTGCTGCATTAGTTCGACCTTCCTCATTAAACGTTCACTTCCCTGGTATGATGGCTTTGATTCAGACTC